CAAACCGTTCTACATAATTTGCCCCAATTAATTTTCATCTCAGTTACTATATGGAAAAATTAATTTTGTACAAATCATCTTAAGTTAGGCCTCTCTCCCTACAATTAAAAAACTTAGCTGTAAGTAGCAATATCTGACTTTGTCTGAAAAGCAAGCTGTGGAAAGTTCTATCATGTCCTACCACCGGGGGAAAAAAAGGAGAAAGTCCTGTCAGGAGACCACAAGTGGTAATTAACAAAAATCATGGCAGGTTTCAATTCGAAACGTGTGGTTTTCCTTTGTGTATTTCATCTGTCTTTTATTTCTTTGAATTTAGCATCCATATAATATACCTGTTTTTTTAGGGGCTTCAATTGATCATGCCTCTTAGACTTAGAAAACATTAATATCTGGGGTAAATAATTCTTTCAAATCATGAATATTAGCAATTAGTGGTAAATATTAGCATATGAAACCAAGTTTTATCAATAATTATAACAGGGACTATTAAGGAAACTACCTCCCTAAAGAGCTCTAACTTTTAAGGACAGTTTTGTACACATGATACAGATTACATTTGGTTCAGTAACAAAGTTTTAATTATATGACTTCTAGAAAAATTACAAAAATCTTAACAGACAAGATTTTAAATTATTTCAATTATCCATGCCTTTACCCTACATCTGTTAAGTAACTTAAAAATAATGTATCACGAAAACATCACTGCAACATTTGGTCTTTGTTCTTTCTTTTCTAAAACTGCAATTCCTTTGAAATATCCTCAATTTTTCCAAAGTGAAAACCAAATATACACATTTAGAATATAAATTTCCAATTAGTTTCGTAAAAGTTCGATCACAAAAATCTCCAACTAATACTAAAATAATTAAGTCTCTTTAGAGCTTATTCAAAGTTCCACAGTAAAAATGAATAGCCTTTGTCATTAACTCCTATGATACTATTTTGATCAAGGTTAGTCACAGACCAGCAAATCTGTGAAAAGAACATTCCTTTAAAAATCAACTTAGTTTAAAGCAATGTAGAATCATTAGAGATTTCACAACTTTTGTAGTCTAGTCAGCTTCAAAGACACAATTTGAATCAATAGCGTATTTAGAGCATTATTTCCAATTCAAGTAAGAAAACACTACTGGCTTAATAATGTTATTTTGGCCTTATGTATTTTTTCTTTTAGGCAATGAAGGGAACAGGTGGAGTAGGATTAGCAGGGCAACAAAGTCTTATGTCCATGCCTCTATAAATTCAACCCTCCAAGACTTTCCCTACTCTTTAAAATGGCTACCACCTTGATCTATACAAAAGAAAAAAATGTACAGGACACGACTATCAAAGATATATTTGGTTATTCTGACAATGTTTATCCTCCTCCCCCACAACATACTTCTTAAGACTCCCATTCCTGCTCTGTTCAGATAAAATGACCATTAAATAAGTACACAAAAGTTGGTCAATTACAGTCTGTGTGGGCAACCTATAAAACCGAGACTAGGTCTTCTTTCCTATAATGTCTAAGAAAAGCACGTAACATTATCTTTCACAGACGAAGATCAAACACAGTAGAAGTGAAAAGGATTGTCCAATCTAGTTAAAGAGAAACAACCATGGGAACCACAACCCCTCCTCAAGAGATGATCATAAGGATTTAATAATTCAAGTGAATAGATTAAGTATTATATGGCTTAGCAAAAATTTTGTTAGTAATAAGTCTTTTTAAAAAGAATTTTATAAATAACAAAAACCACTTGGTGCCCCCAAGCCTATACTTAATACTCAATCACTACTGTCAAATAGTTTACATATTACTTACACCCTTTTGCTATCCACTCTGAAACCATTCCATAAGACTCTTGCTCTAGAAAACTTACCACGAAAATGCATTTTCACATACAAAAATGAAAAGGTATGTAATGCTTTTGACAAATTTTGTGCGTCTCGATAGCTACTAAATAGATTAACTTTGAAATCTGTTGAATGTCTGCATAAACATGACATGATCTTACCTCTCATCCTCGCCATCCACCAGGGGTGTCGTCAGCGGTAGCACCTTCAACGGGAAAAGAGAAGCAGGGGCTGCAAGGCTGCTGCTACTCCCATCTGAAACTGCTGACATTCCCCCACTGTCACCACTGATAGTCTGAGGTAAGCCAACTAAGGAGGGTTCCGCTGGGCGCCTGGCATCTTCAATTTGGCTTCCAATTGCCTGAGCTAATGATTGTGCAGAGAACTGAGTAGAACTTAGTGGTATCTGTTGTGCCAAAGGCAGATTTATGTTAGCTGCTATCAAGGGAGGTTGACTAACACTTTGAACCAAATTACCATTTTGAGTGGCAGGGGTTTGTGCTATATTCTGTGGTGGAACCAAGTTTGTTGGGACAGAAGGCATTCCGGAAGGACCAGTTGAACTAACCTGACTTGTAACAGAAATACTACTAGCAGAGGGCAAAGGACTAACTGCAGGCAACGGCTGCGAAACAACTTGAGCTACTGATTCTACTCCTTGTGGCTAGGGAGGCACAGTTAACAAGGTACTCTGGGGTGCAATGACCAATTGTTGAGGAAGGCTTGAAGCACTAGTTTGAACTCCCTGATGAATAATCGCAGTTTGAGCAGGTGGAACTATCTGTGAAGATGGAGGAGCACCTTGCTGAATAACTGAAGGTGTGACTTGGGTAGAGGGCTGCTGCACTGCAGTAGGTATGTTTGCTTGTTGACCGATATTTGCAATTTGACTGCCAGTAGGTACAACAGACACTGCTGTTTGAGCCTGGCCAACAGGCTGGCCAGATGCCCCTGCAGGTTGTGCCTGGATCGCTGCGGGCTGCACTGGCAGCTGGAGACTCTGTGGTTGAGCCGTAGGAATCACTGTTGTTCCTGCTCCCACTCCTGCAGAACTGGGCTGTCCAGAGGACACTGCTGTTTGAAGAATCGGCTGCTGCTGCACGTACTCTGAAGCAGGATTCTGAGTCACGGATTTACCGTGGCCTGGGACCATCTGCGTAGAAACAGCCGGCTGCTGCTGTCCATACTGTAACTGTTGGGGTGGTGCCCCTGGAAGGGGAGCTTGCACTGGAGGAACCGTCTGAGAATACGGCAGTTGGGGCTGAGCCAAACTGGAAATGGAAGGCTGCTGACCTAAAGCTGAAGTTACACCAACCACACTAACAGGTGATGGCTGGATACCAGTTGCAGCACTGATAGTGGCTTGTAGAGGTACTGGCTGAAGACCTTGCTTTTGAGGATAGCTCAGTTCTTGAGACTGTAATTGTACTTGCGTGATCTGTGACTGAGAAATACTCTGTGGTATGCTAACTGCTGGAATACTCTGGGGACCGGTGCTACAGAAATCCAGCTGCTGAAGAGCCATACCTTGAAGCGCTGATGGCTGCTGCTGTACCACCACAGTAGGGGCTCCCATCTCTCCGCTTCCCACACTCTCTGTGTAGTGACTCAGTGTGCTGACACTACTGCTCACTGAACTCCCACTAGTGCTCTCCCTCTCAGAAGTCACTTCTGCTGGGTTCTGTTTTACAGTTTCCACCACTTTATTTATCGCCACACCTTCTACGGCAGGTACAGCATTTTCTTTTTCATAGAACTCGGTGCAAGTCCATCTACCTTTTTTAAAGGGTTCAGAACTAGAATCTAACTTCACAACTCTGAACCTTGACGTGTTAACTGTTGGTTGCTGCTGCTGACTGGAAACTGACCCAGCAGCCATCCCTGCGGCTGCAATGGGGGCACTGTTAACAGCGGAGGAAGATACCGTACCATTGCCCATGCCACTCAAGATATTCACATTAACTCCGCTGCTCACTCCAGGCCCAACACTCACACTAGCAGCACTAGGAATATTGCTTGCATTTATAGTAGCATTACCAAGCATGCTGCTTGTCACACTAGGATTAAAACTACCCACAGCAGCAGTAATGTTAACATTATTCATTGTATTAGTGCCAGTAACAGAACTTATACCTATACTGCCAGTAGTACTCGGAGCACGGATATTAGTCATTACAGATGCAGGTGAGCCACCCAATGATACAGCAGAAGTTGGTGCAGCTGCTATAACACTGTCAGAGGTTCCAGCTGCAGAGAGTTTTCTGGATACTGGACTGGAGGGTGGTCCTCCAGGAATGGATGTACTGGCCACACCAGCATGGGATGGATGGTGGTGCCCATGGTGTAGGTGGTGCCCATGATGAATGTGATGGTGGTGATGGAGGTGGTGTGGATGAGCATTCCCATTGATCACAACATTCTGTTGTGGAAGGTGAGGCAAATGAGGCTGCGGAAGGTGGGGCTGGTTGGGAGAAACTGCCCCAGGTGTCTCAGCTTCCTGGAAGTTATTTAGAGTCTCTTCTGAGGAGCTGCGTTCAGGCTCCCCTAAGTCAGTAGCCCTGGAAAGTGACACATCAAGGATCTCGGAAGAAGACAGATCTTCCGTGTGAGATTCATCCAGGTCATCATAGCTCTCAGTGTCCTCTGCTATACTGTTGTTAGAGCTGATGCTGGCGGAGATCTGAGCCGGGGTAACGCTAGTTATCTGGAAGCCACTTTTCTTCTTCATTTGAGTTCCGCCTGGCGCAAGAGGCTGTGTCTGCAGCTGAGCCTGAGAAAGGAGGTTCAGGCTTTGTGGAGGCGGAGGCTGTGGTCCCGACGTAGAAGATGCTGCAGGAGGTGGCGGCTGGAGCAGCGACGGAGGCGGAAAATCCTCGGAAGATGTGGCATTACTACCAACGCCGGTACCTGCTGCATTGAGAGCAGAGGCGCTGCCACTACCGCTGCCCCTTCGAGGGAACATTGCCGGGTGCGCCATCTTCCTAGCACTAATGTCTGCGGCGGCCGCGGCCGCCGCGGCGGTGGACTCAGGCGGCTGGTGCATTGTGTCGGGTACCGGGGGGCGGAGGAGGCGAGTGCAATTTCCTTCTGCACCGTAATCTTTGTATTCAAGACGCCGGGGAGGAAAACGGGACCTGACGCTCCGCCCGGCGCGGTTCCTCCTTCTCCTCCTCCTTAGCCGAAGGCGCCGGCCGCTCCTGCCTTCGAGGGCGAGCTTCGGGAAGGGAGGATGAACGAGGGTGAACAGGGCGGCCAGGGACCCGAAGGGGGGACCCCTTCAGTCCTTCGCCATTCACTTTCCCCTCTAGTCTCACACCCCCCTTTATATTCCGCTTCACGTGGGGTGCGGGGCAGGAGGGAGGGGGAGACAAGGCAAGGGGGAGACAAGGGGAGGGGGTGGGAAAACCGAGAAATGCCCACCTTCTCCGGACAACTCAGAAGCCACCTCAACCCCTCCTCCCGCCGCGGCGGCGGCCGCTGCAAAACCCTCCCGGTCGCTCTGCACGAAAGCAGCGCGGAGCGAGTGTCGCCTTCCCTTCACCACCCCCCAGCGCCGCCGCCGCCGCCGGCGAGCCCCGAGCTCAGTGTCGCTCAAACCTCCCCTCCCGGCCCCACTGTCCCCGCTCGGCCCTCCCCCCACGCCCCTCGGACCCTTTCAAACCCCCTGGGCTCGCGGCGGCTGTTCCGTGAGCAAACGCTGGCCGCGGCTGGGGCCCGGGCGGCGAGGCTCGGAGCGGGGCGGCGGCGGCGGCGGCGGCGGCGGGGCGCCCGGTACGGTGAGCCCAGCAACGAGGCGCGGGCGGGCGCGCAGAGACGCCGGGTCCTCGCGGAGCACGGCCGGGGCGCGGCGGCGGCACTGGCAGCGGGAGCCCAGGGACCGCTCCATCACTGGCAGCCATGGAGCCCGAGCATTTTCCTCCCTCAGGGCAGGCGCCTCGGCTCGGCACACGTCCTCGGGGAGGAAGGGGCCGGCGCCCGAGCCTCCCCGGAGGGCGGCGGGATGTGCGCTAGCGCAGAGGGGTGCGAGCCGCTCCTGTCCGCTTCCTCCTCAGCCGGCTCGTCCTCACCCTGCTGCTCCCGCGGCCCGGGCGGGAGGGGGCCCGCAGGCAGCGGCGGCTCCTTTCTCGGCGGCGTTGGTGGCCAGACGGGCTGGTGCAAGCGACTGCAGCCGACGCCGTTCAAAGGAACGAGAGGTGGGGTTGGTCGGTGTCGGCAAACGGGGCGGGTGAGTGGGTGGGTGCCGAGGGAGGGCGGCGGGCGGGGAGGGGGCTGTGGTGGTTGTTACTAGTGCTCTTCTCCGGCTCCACCGTATCCCCCAGTCTCTCGCGGCAACGGGAGAGGAGGGACCAGCGCCCGAGCGCAGAAGGAGGAGGGGCGACCGTCGGCGAGAGGAGGCGGCGGCGGTGGCGGGGGGAGGGGGCAAGCAAAGGAGAAGGAGGGAAGATGGCGTCTGCGCATGCGCCCCGGCGCCGCAGACATAAAGCCGGGTCTGGCGAAGAAGGCGGCGGCGGGGCTTCGGGCCTTGCCGAGCGCTCGGTCTGCCGACGGAAATTGCCGAAGGCTGGCGGAGGCTCCGACTCCGGGGGCGGTGGGGGTGGGGAGTTGCGGCCGAGGGAGCGAATCCGGGTCGGCCTGTGAGTTTCGGCCTGAGTGGGGGTGGGGCAGGGTGCGGGGAGCGCGCAGGTTAGGTGTGTCCGCCCTGTTCTCTCACGCGGCCGGTGCGCGCGCGCGCGGGCACGCGACAGGGGAGGGGGGCGCGTGGGGTGGGGCCCGCGGAGGCTGCTGGAGCAGTGGGTCTCCGGTGTACGCGCTCTGGGTGGTGTTCCCCCCTGCCTGCGGAATGGGTAATGAGGCTTTTCTCCGCAGCAACAGCATCACGAGTTTCAGTTCCCAAGAGCCCGCCGCCGCCACCGCCACGATACGACATGAGTCAGGCTTTCTTCCTTGGCGCGTGGCGGAGCCCTCCTCCCCCTCGCCGCACCGCACCTGGGCTCACCCCCGGCCCGCGTCGCCCGCGCCCCCTAGGCGGAGGCCCCCGTGCCGGGAGCTGCGCGGGCCACGTAAGGCCCGAGTGTCTTCGAGATAGGTGCTGCCTTTTGTGCAGTGCAGTTGCGGCTGCCATGCGGTCCCCTTGCCCTTCGACGGGCAGGGGTGAGCCAGGCCCCAGCGAACAGATGTTGCAGCCGCTCGGTATTAACCACCTAAGTTCCTCCGGGGTAGGGCTCTTCGCAGGAGAGGGCGTGCTTGCAGTCCATCCCTACCTGGAGGGAAGCAGCAGCCCAGCCCAACTAATTGACCTCAACAGGTGGAGCTTATTTCCAGCAGAGAGGTCTTTTCCTTTAATTGTCCAGGCTGTATAGCCCCCATAGGATTGACTTAAAAGACAAAGTCCTAGTGGTGACACAAGTGCAGATAAACGAAGACTACCTTTTAGGGTTAGAAAAGAAAAAGCCATCTGTAATTCCAGTTTAAAAAAAAAAAATCTGCATGGTCTGAGCATGGTTCTACAAAGCAATGTTAGGTTTGATTGGAGGCAGTTTACTGGAAGTTGCTTCCCTAGCATTCATTACACGTCAAACATTCTGGCTCCAAACTAGAATGTACTACTAAGCGAGAATGTACTTCTCGCTCAGGAATTAACAACAAACTGATATGGAAAACCCTAGATAGAAATTTTTTATTTTTTTAACCTAGGTTGTGGGGGAATAAACTTTTATGGTTAGACTTCTAATTAAGGAAATCTCACAGATTTACAGATCTATAATCCTATTTGAGGATCTTGTTTAAGCATAAAGAGCTGAATTCTCTTGCAGAGTTTGATAGACCTCTAGTTGTCAATTCAGCGCATTACCTTTAGAATTCTCTACACTCTTTTCTTCATTTCATTCCATCCCTCACAGTGTCACCATTCTCTTATAGTACTGAATAGAAATGCACCCTCAACATCCTGTGTTTATCCTGAATCAAAGCCATGATATATTGCTGTTTTTTCTGTGGTCTCCCCCCCCACCCCCCCGCCGCCACTGAGCCAAAACGACAGAACTGCATTTTTCACTTCAAATTGCTAATGTGGAGCTCTGCATTAGGTACAAAGTAGGTGCTCACAAATAATTGAAAATGGTGTGGTAATGAAAATCAAATAGATTTGAATAGATCTTATTTGTCTTATAATCATGAATATGTGAGTGATTATATTTTTACATACCCATGGCCATTGGTGTATTTTACAAAAATAATTTAATACCCTCAACAGCTTTTGTTTCAAGTGAAAAGGGTGGTGAATAGTGGCCATCCATTGTTGAAATGCAAATCTGACATGCTATTTCAACAGTTTGTGAATGGAAAATAGAAGCTATCCTAACCAATTGACCTGCAATGGAATGTAGGTAGGCAAAATGTTTCTTTGGACTAGTGTGAAAGAAAATGCTCTTGATCTCTCAAAATGTTGCATTAGGTCCAAGTTTTAAATTACCCCAAACAACAGCTCAACACCCCCTTGGGCCCTAAATAGCCTCTATGATTGTGCTGATATGGTTAGAAGCAGAAGAAACATATAATAAAGTCTTACCCAAAGTTGACAGAATGGGGTGAGATAACCCTATAAAAGCAGATACTTGTTCTGATAACCAGTAGTAAAGGATATTGTTTGGGGCTGTTTTGTTGGAAGGGGAGTAATATTATTTCTTTTAAAAGGAGATGGGGGGCGGCGGGCTCACCTGGGTGGCTCATTCGGTTAAGTGTCTGACTTTGGCTCAGGTCATCATCTAGAGAGCCTGGAGCCTACTTCAGATTCTATATCTCCCTCTCTTTCTGCCCCTCCCTCACTTGCACTCTCTCTCTCTGTCTCAAAAATAAATATCAAAAAAATTTTCTGAAAAAAAGTTTGTTTTTTTAAACTTCCAGGAAAATATTAAGCTGTAAGAAAATACACTCTTTTCAAATGTATTTCATTTTTGTCTGTCATATCACTTTCAAATTCCTGTCACTAAGATATAAAGAGCAGCTCCACAATTATGGAAACCTGAGTTTTAAAAACCTCTCTATATCTATCAGTTGCCAGCCTTTCTGTGACCAGGAATACCTGAATACAAGTACATTAAAACAAACAGAAGCATTTGAACAGCCAGGTGTTATCATGTTACCACCTTTTAATGAAAATACAAAAAGTCTGGACTTTTTTTTTTTTGCACTGATATTAAATGCCTACTGCTATATGTAATGAAGTCATTAAGTTTCTTTGAACTCAGTACGAGTTATCCTTTGCCTTTTGAAAGACTGAATTTCCCCTGTTTACATCCTGAAGGTGTAGCTCTGAATTCCTCTTTATTGACTAAAAGATTAGTGTGTAGTGGAGTGTTCACTTAAATCTAGTTATTGCGACATTGCAAGCTAATGTGTATGCTTGGCTGTGTTTAGTGTTTTTTCTACCATAAAATGGAAAATTGGCTGAATATTATAACAATTCACCTTTTTGTGAGAACTGTGAAATAGGTCAGTATTTAAAACCAAGTGCTTCTCCAAATGTAATGCCCTCAAAGAGCAGGAAGGGAATACTTACACTCAGAATGGCTGCGAGTAGCAAAGACATACTAAAGAGAAGGGTGTGCAGAAAAATGCCACTGTTCGACTAGTAATTCTAGCTAACCAGTGCTTCAATCATGCAGTATTACTTACCTGTAACTTTTGAACGTCATCTGAAAAAAAAAGTCAAAATTGTATACAAGTTATAAACATGAAAAAAATTACACATTTTTACCTATGCAGAAACTTATGCCTGGAGGTATGACAGCATGTTTATAAATCAATTTGTTTTCTAGAAAAACAATTTTGAAATTTATTTTGAGAGAGAACGCGTGTGTTTGCACACACATGGCAGTAAGCACACATGGGCAAAAACAGGGTAGGGACAGAGGGAGAGAGAAGGAGAATCCCAAGCAGGCTCTACACTCAGCAGGGAGCCTGATGCAGGGGTCCAACCCACCAACCGCGAGATCCTGACCTAAGCCTAAATGAAGAGTCACACGCCTCACGAACTGAGGCACCCAGGCGCCCCTCTCTGGAAAATTTTTTAAATTTTAAAATTTTAAAATGAGACCAGAAGTAGTATATGCTATTTGACTTTTATAAATAGCACAAAATTCTTATTTTGAAATTTCTCACTCAAATTTCAATGAGTACAATTTAACTTATAATTGATTAGTTTTTGCAGCATTTGTTAAATTTTCAGTGCAAGTATGTTTCTGTTTGGGGAGCCTTGGGTGTCTTACTTGGTTAAGTGTCCGTATCTTGATTTCAGCTCAGGTCATGATCTCACAGTTCATGAGATTGAGCCGTAAGTCTGGCTCAGCGCTGAAAGGGAGGAGACGGCTTGGAATTCTCTCCCTGTCTCTCTGCCCCTCCCCTGCTCATGTTCTCTCTCTCTCTCTCTCTCTCTCTCTCTCAAAATAAATGAATAAACATTTAAAAAAAAACAGTATGTTTCTAGTCAGTGAAACAATTTTATATCCTCAAATGAGATATGCTTACAAGATAAAAGAAGTTTGAAGTCAGAAATTTCAATTTACGAAAAAGGGGGCACACCACTATACATTAGCTCATTTAATTCTGTCCTTTGAAGGAGAAGACATTATCATTGTCATTTTAGAAGTGATCAAAGAGAGGTTAAATAACTTGTCCAAAGTTTATACCTAAACCTGAGTATTCAGGTCCTTTTAATTTCAGATTCCATGCCTCTGTGTTAAGAGATGTTTCTAAAAAAGCAGTCTGAACTCCAGGGACTAGCATTTTTCAAAACTCTCTCGGAAATTAATGAGTGTTCTTTTAATGCTTTTGAACGCCAAGAAAGATATGCTGCATACACACTAATTGCATACAACTTTTCTTCTACATGAAGAGAATAAAAGGCTATTTCCCTTGCTTGACCAAATGTAAATGTTACAGATTCTGCTATAGTCAGTCTTTTCTGACTCATGAATGTGTTAACTTGGAGAATTTCCTCACAACTGAAAAAAAAATCATTTTTAACTTCTGCAA